AGTCCTACTTGGGGTAAAAATTGCAATAAAATTTCTGATGAAATTTTTAAAAAAGAAAGGTGAACATTTTACTGATGCTTACATCCAGCAGAATTTATAAGTGTAAGTAAATAAAAGGCATTTTCCATTCTTCTTTTCCAACGAGCTATTATAGTTAATGACACACTTCCTAATTTAAAATGTAAATCTACTGAAACAAGTTGGCACAAGCAGCAGCAGCAGCACTATAGCAGTGACACGACATTGTATTCAGTGACAGAGCAGAAGACAAATTTTAGCCCAAAATTAGCCTAGGTTGTGCTTTTCACTGGAAATTCAAAGCAAATAGCTAATAATAACAAACAAATACTAAAGTAATGTAACCTTATAACTCTTTAGGACCTGCACAAAACTGTCACATGATAAAAAAAATAAATGAAAACTGAAGTATTTTCTATATGTGGGATGAACCAGCTGTTTCAAAACCTGCTATTTCACCATGTAACAACATCAGTAATTTCCATCTACTGATTGCTTTTCCTGTCATATGAAGTGCAACTAGCAAGGCTCAGTGGAGTCATATGTTGACATTTGGGTCACACATCCACAGGTGTTAGCATCTCCTCTTTCATAACCTGGCTGAACTCAACGGTGTGTTTTTGCCTCAAGTGGTGAAACAAGTTTGTTGTTGCCAGCTTTAGCAGAAACTTCTTTCTTCCATATTTTGCAAAGTACTGTGACATTTTAGAGGCAGTTGGAGTACCTCCCTTCATAGGTACTAAATTGTCACTGGAGGCTAAAAGGAAGCTCTTGCTCTCACGCATTCCTGTCTAGTCTCTTTGCGAGTACCAAGAAACATAGAAAATATATCGTAACATGATATTTTTATCTATTTTAAAAATTTGTACCACTGTTATTGCCAACAATATCAATGATATGGCACAGCCCTACCTGTGTTTCTGTAAAAGTAACCGCTGTTCAAGATTTATTAGATAAAAGTCCAATACAAAGAGTTGGACTTTGGCAGAGTAATGGTGACGCACCAACAAGAGTATAAATGTAGACCACACTGTTGCACAGTACAGCAATGCTATTATAGAAAACATGTTGGCGGTGTGGAACAGCAATTACGACTTTCCCCCTTCATACAGGATATTTAATTATAACATTTCCCAGTTTTGACAAACTGGAGCAAAATGACATGAGGATTTCAAACAGAGCAGTTAAAATCTCTTTGTTGTATACAGGCTACCCTGTGAACACCCGCTAATCAAATTTTAATAAAATTACAGTGCCCTTAATAGCTGATTCCTGGAGAAACAGCTAATCACTGTGGCAAAAAGAGTCCTAATTACATATAATTTCCCCCACATGTACATCTTTAACCAAACAGTGGGCTACTATGCTAAGCTTAAAAGACGTGTTAGCATACGTCAAAGGAGGTGTCCCGCTATACTTACCTGCAGCTGCTGGCTCATCTTCATGGCATGCAGGCATGTCCGAAGGCGCCTGCTCTGCCTGACTCATCTCTCTGGGAAAATAAGTGACACAATTACCAACATGTCACACAGCAACGCAGATATGAAGTGTACTGAACTACAGCTAAACAGAGACTGCCTTAACTTAAAAATCCCACTGAAACTATTGAAAGTTATCTTCTTACTGACTGAAGTGTTTCCGTGCATGTTGAAGCACGTTTAGCTGTAATGCTGAATGTGATAAGTTGCTGTATTTTCAGTTTATGTCCTTAACATTATGAACAACAAAGTACATAGTGCAAAACTGCTCCACCACAAACACGTTGGTGTAAGTTTTGACGTCTGTGACAATGTTTTGAGCTTACTGAAAGCCTTTCTTCCAAATAAAATATGTATGAATGTAAGACAGCCTACAAAGAGAGCTTTAACTTACAACGTCACTGTAAATAACTGGGCTGCTGGATGCACAATGTGTACAGAAAATAAAGGAGCTTGCTTTGGGCGTGCTTCGTATCCTTAAAACAAGGCGGACCTGTTCAGGTGTTTCTCGCAGAGCAGGTTAAAAAAAATTAAAAAAAAAAGCACAACGAGATAAAATATGAACTGTGTACACCTTCACTCCAAATCACTCCAGTTCTATTGTTGAATTCGTTAGTGCGCAATCATTAATTTGTGCACAACTATTTAAAGCATTTTCATGTCTGCACAAGCCTATTTCAGAACAGACGTTGGCCAAAACAACAAACATAATAAATAAAGGGCCATTTCAAAAACAGACCATTAAGAACTTATAAAAACCTGCTCAAAAGACATCTTCTTTAAATGGGTTGTAAACACAACGCCGGATAACAGTAGAAAGCTGTCGTAGAAACAACTCTGTGTAGGGTTCAAACAGATCGAGCTCTACGTGCAAAACGCGACAGTAACTTCCAGTCAGTACTCGAAGAGTACGCTAACTTGTATTACTAACCTTTATAACCGTCATAGTTGTGTGACTTATACGCGGAGCCTGAACGCCACGCGCTGATTAACGTTATTTTGTAGAATTTTCTAGCTCAAACGTCACATCTCTCCGCAGGGAAACGCCACTTTTAGCAGCTTTCCCCCGCTAATAGTCGACAGTGCGTCGTCATTTCTAAACTAGCCGTCCCGTATAAAGTAAGGGTCTACGGTGTTTTTGCTCGGGAGTTGTTTTAAGAAAATATGGCTGAGGTGTTTTTCTTTTCCTTTTTTCTTTTCAAAAGTGACGCTCGTGCTTCTGCTGAAGTTTTCATGGCTGACTGTCATCAAACAAACTGAATCCCAAACAGCTAACCCAACACTTACCTTGCGCGAGCGTACAGCTAGCAAAGAGAGCGACCCACTTTTGGGGAAGGCTGTGTTCTTTTAAAAAATGACCACAGTTATTTCTAAAAAGGACCAAAATCCTCAACAATGAAGCTGCTGATGGCGAAGCGGGCTTGTGTTGTCTGTCTCTTTTTGGAGGAGGAGGTGGAGGAGGAGGACCTCAGTCTCCACCCATAAAAAAAACACAGAGTTACGCGCTGTTTGCAGATGGATCCCCAGCTGCTGCTCCGTGTGAGAAAAACACACGGCTCACAAGTACTGGATCTAAAATTAGACTGTTCCTGTTTATAATTTTAGTCCACTTTTTGACATGTTTCCGAAATTAATTAGCATAATTTCATAATGCAGTGAGGCCCTTACGTTTAAGAACCTAAATAGTGTTTTCCGATTATATCTAAACGGTTAAGAAGTGTACAGGGGGTTGTTTTTACATTTAAAAAATGTTTTTATTTTGGATATGATTGGGAACACCATATTTCGAAATATACATTTATATGTAATAGAAACAATTGGTTTAAATAATACGCAGCCTCAAAACACAACCAGACTTTGGTGGGATGGGACACGGACATAAATACCTCGAGACCGCCTCCTTCCTTTGAGGCGGAAGTGACGTACATCTTTAGCTTTACCAGAGATCGTCTGTCTTAAATAGATGGTCACGTCTCACCTGAAAACAAATGCAACCTCTATGCGTAAAGGCATAAAGGTGAAACGTGGTATGAAATATGATAATAAGCAATTAATTTTAGAAATATACACAAAACTTAGTATCAACCGAACTGAAGTGAATAAGGGTATAGGTCCTGTATTTTAAATCTTGTCACAGAGTTTGTGAAAGTTATCCAAACATTTATCACAACATTAAGATAAGAGTAGTCCAGGGGTAGGCAACTCCAGGCCTCGTGTGCCTTGCAGATTTTAGACATCACCTCGTTTCAACACACCTGAATCAAATGTTCATTCCCAGGCCTCTGAAGAATGTCAAGACATTTTGGGGACATAATTTAGCCATTTGAATCAGCTGTGTTGGATTAAGGAAACATCTAAAACCTGCAGGACTCGAGACCTGGAGTTGCCTACCTCTGGAGTAGTCTAATCCACACTCGGTCAAAAGTACACATACAGGCTTGCATATTCATAGATCTTCACTAATACTTGGTTAAATCTCCTTTAGCAAGTTGCACCTTGACCAGATGCTTTTGGTAGCCATCAAAAAGCTTTGGTTACAGCTTCCGTTGGATATTTGTCCACTCTTCATTTCACGTTTGGTAGAGTTAATTGAAATTTGTTGGTTTGATACATGGACCTAACTTTCAGGTGTAGTCTGCACATTTTCAATAGAGTTAAGGTTTGGAAAGACGTTTATAGCAGCTTAATGTTTGCCTGCATTTTCCACTCCAAAACCAGCTTTGATATGTCTTTGTGATCATTGTCCATTTGAAACACCCAATTTTGTCCAAGTTTCAACTATCTAGCTGTTGATTTGAGGTAAACTTGAAGAATTTAAAGGGAGTTCTCCTTTATTATTCTGTCCATTTTCTGAAATGTACCAGTACCCCTGGTAGCAAAACAGCTGCAAACAACATGCTACCACCACTATGCTTGACAGCTGGTACAGACTTTGCAGATTTAAAAGCCTCACCTTTACTCCACTAAACATTCCTCTTGTCATTGTGGCCAAATAGCTCAGATGTTTCCTTGTCTGACCATAAAACCTTTCTTCAGAGGACAGCTGGACAGCATGGACAGCTGTAAATTTCAGTCAAGCTTGAAGATGTTGATTCTAGAGCAGGGGATTGTTTCTTGACTGACACACTCTTGTTCCATAAGATGCAAAAATCACTTAATTGTGGGCAGAGGACATTGATGTTTCAGCAGTTTCCAGGTTATGGCAGGTTTGAACCTTGGTGGCTGCTGGGTTGTTCCTAAACTTTTCCTGTCGTCTGAGGGTAACAGTTTGGCTCTTTTCCAGACATTACAAACAGATGACAGATCTGAATATCTTACCTTGTCTTGCCAGAACAAGATGTTTGAATTGTTGATCTTGAATTAATGATCTTGTAATCTATTTAGAAATGGCTCCAAGAGACTTTCCCAACTTGTATAAATCTATAATTCTCCTTCTTAGATCTTAATTGAGTTCCTTGGACTTTCCCATTTTTCTGCGTATCGATCAATCCAATGAGTGCTGTCAAACACAGCCTTTCTATGTTGGCAAAGAGAAACTACTGTTGTAGTCAATCATGATAGTTTTTATATTTACAAAATGTTTAGTTTTGGTTCATTTTTTAAATTAATTTATAGTTTTGTTTTTATTCCTTTTAACTATTACAGTACCATAATATGGGGGTTTAATCAGGGCCAAGTTTTATTTTTTGCTTGTGTCTTTACTGGTCTTGTCACATGTTTGTGAGCACAGGCTAAATAAAGGAAACATCTCTCTGTATGATATCAGCAAATCAAGCTACAGCCTCCAAAAAGATTACAAACACCTCTTTGAACATCCAAAATGTATCGCTGGGTGACTTTTAGACCTACTATTAATTTGAATAGGACTTTACCGGAAACGTGGTGTCACGTGACTCCTGTTCAGTTTCCCGCCTGTATTCGTACATAGTAATTTAGTACCCGGAAACGGCAGCAGAGTGACAGCTCGCTCTGTAAAAACTTCCCGTTCAGGCTGCGTGCAACCTCACTGTATGGCTTTGAGAAGAAGGAGACACCCTTAATACAGTTTAAACAGCTGTTTGTTTGGCTGCCGCAGCTGGAGGGCTACACTTTAACATTTTACGGGAAGCTCGAAAGTTTTTGTTTATATTTTTGGATGTAAAACATCACGAGTGGCTCAACAAAAGTCTGCAGTGTGTCGTCGTCGTCTGCTCGTCATTCAGAACCTCTGCCGTCTGGAAAGACACAGGTAGCTAATGACATGCAAATGAAATAAAGCCCTCGTATAACCTTTCAGTGGCATTATTGTTAGTGTTACCACTGCACTTCCATCTTTTAATATCAATTCCCATGGTTTCCTGCAGAATGAAGCGAAATGACGTCAAATTGATTTTAGGGAAAGCTTTTTTTTTTCTTTTTTTTTTTTTACTTAATGGATCCACATACAGTTTTATGAAACGAGTCCATGGGCCCTTCAAGTGAATTAAAACCCCACATTTTCAGTGTGATCTGACGTAGTTTGCACTTATGCTAAGTCGAAGAAAGGGCTGATTTTCCTCTCTGAGAAAGTGGTAGGCCTATCTAGATGTCTGCTTCCAAAATGTGGAAAGTTTCACACTAACATGTCTCCCCCATCATTTTAGTGACTGTGTAAAGATTTTCTGAGATACAAGCATTCAAAATACATCGGGGTTTATCCAGAAGAAGCAAATCAACACCTGTGACAGAGAAACAGAATTAAGCATTGGCACCCTGGATGTTATATGTGCTTTTATTACAGCTCAACTGTTGTTGGTGTAAATCAGGCCTACCTTTCACACCTTTAGTTGGTTCAAAATGCTGCTGTTCACCTTCTTAACAGAAAACATAAGATGCAACATATTCCTCTGATCTGGCCTCTCTTCAGTAGCTTCCCCTGCATCTTAGGATTGATTTTAAGATTTATTTTTTGCGTTGAACCCACCATATATTGCTTATCTCTTAACACCTTATGTGCCTCCAAGGGCCCTAAGATCTGCTAACCAGCTACAAACACTAGCCTTAAGAACAGGGAGGGGAAGTCGAACTTTCTCAGCTATAGTCCCTAAATTGTTGAATAAGTTGCTTCCCACCTCATGTTAAACTGGCTCCCACCTTAGACATTTAGTATGCCTTCAAACTCATGTTTATTCTTTGACTTTAAAGTCTGCGTGAAAGCTTAGATATTTAAGCTGATGTATTGTCTCTTGCATTTTTGTGTTAATTACTGATAAGTGTGGGCATGTGTGCGTGGTGCATCTTACTTTATTGTGTAACTATCAGTTTCATGTGCAACACTTTGGTCAACTTTGTTATTTTAAATATGTTTCATAAACAAATTGGGACTGGAATTTTTCTGTTAAATGTTTAAAAACATATTTCTGGGTCAATTTTCAAGGATCATATCATTTTTGACACCAGGCTCATCTTATACACCCATTTCCTGTGTTTCAAAAGTAAATATCTAATATAGTCATTTTAACACTTACAAGTATTTGGGCTTTGAAATAAAGAAATAAAAACACACAGAAGGGTGTCTGGATCAGTGGATCCTTTGCATTCATGGACTAGGACAGGGGTGGGCAATTCCAGGCCTCAGCTGTGTTGGATCAAGGACACATCTAAAACCTGCAGGGACACCGGCCCTCAAGGCCTGGAGTTGCCCACCCCTGGACCAGGAGAACTTCCTCAGAATTTAAAGTTGTTGGATCATTGTGATATCACCAAACTATTCTATAAAACACATAAACATCAGTGTTTTCATAGCCAGGAGTTAAAAATGTGACTGCTAGAAATGATTTAGACACAGAACAGATTCATGTATATCTAATTGTAGGGGAAAGTGATGCTCATATGACCCTTGACTGTTTACCCAAAGTGCTTTATTTTTTTTTTGTTTGTTTTCTCCAGTGAATTATTAAAAAACAAACAAACAAAAAAAACCCAGTAATGTTTGCACTTGGTACAGGTGTTAGTCTGCACCCTAAAATTGTTTAAATGTATAAAACCACAGCAGATCCAAACCAGCCCACTGGTACAAACTATATCAGTTTCTACTGATATAGTTTGGAGAATACAGAGGTTTGTAGTCAATGCAATGCACTTACCACAGTGTAGCTGAAATTATCCCTGTGTTGTTGGTGCCATATGTGTCCGCCTTTACTTGGGGGTCTAACATTTATCCACAACCACTGTTTCTTCATTCATTTTTATGGTTGGGCTTCTCTATTATGGCAAGAATCTTGGTTATTTTTGTCACTGTTTTTGCATTGTTTTGTTTTTAATAATTAACTGAAGCCAAATTTCTAACTGAGATAGAAATTTGGTGCTTGCACAGTCCTAGTTTGTGGTTAGTTTGTTTACTAAAATTTTATGTGTAATGCTTGAGAAGTGCCAGCAGGTGACAGTGTACCCTCACTGTGTGTAACACAGCACTAACAGAGCCTCCACCATGTTTTACAGATGACTGTAGACACACAGTTGTACCTCTCTCTTTAGGTTCTTCAAACATATTGACGACAATTTTAATCAGAAATTTCAAATTTGCATTAATCATGCCGTAAGACCTGTTGCCACTGATTTTCAGTGCAGTTCTTGTGTAATTTGGCTACCTCAGCGTTTTCTCCCTGTTTCCCTTCCTTAAGAATAGATTCTAGACAGCCATCCTTTCTGAGAATATTTCTGGTGAGACTTCAGTGAACAGTAGATGAATCAACTAAGGTGAGAGATGTACATCTCAGGTCCTGGATTTTTCTTTTTCCCTATTTCTTAAAGACACAGCTTTCAGATGCTGTTTAACTCTTGTATATCATGTTTATTCTAGCCACTTCTTCTCTGGTCCTTCACTTATCCGGTTTCCTGTTGTGACTCACCTTGTTGGTAAAAAAAAAAAGAACATTTTATGTCTGTCAAATTGTGTTATCTTTGGGATTTTCATAGATTCACCTTCAAGTGACCACACTTTGCTTTTCAAACATTTTTGGACATATTTCAAATTATTGAAATTATTTTTTTTCATATGGAGTGAAAATAATGTAGAATTAAACTGTTTAATTAGAAAGTGTTTCTTATTACTAAGCTTCACTATTCTCAGTGTGAAAATAATGTCATTTGAATTTTAAAGTGATGTAGGTTGTTCAGTACAAGCTATAAGCTTGTATCGATAGCTCATTGGTTCTTAATTTAAGGCGAGTGAGTCTTCAGAGGAGCAGCGAGGCAAGAGTCATTATTCAGCCATCGACCTGCTGGGCAAATTTAGCTCTCCACCGCCCACCTTCCTCTCTGCATGCAAACAATATAGCAGCACAAATTAGGACTTGCTGCTTTGTGTCAATTGAGAGTCCAACAAAGATGCTACATAGAGTGATATGTCATTAGTGAGCAGGTGGGGTGGGAGGACATATAGCTGCTGCCTCTCCAATTAAGTAATGAAGTGGTTTCTATGGAGACCAGGCTGCTGTGCCTGCATGGGGAGGGGGCAGAGTTCAGAGTCGGCAGTTGTCAACTCTGCTGCAAGTGGAGGGTTAAATGCCGGGGCTGCAAGGGGAAGCCCCTCATTAAACATACCTAAATTTAATCAAAGACACAGCTGAGCCTTTCTTTGAAGTTTCAGTTGCACCGCTCACAGAAAATGGATAAACTGCAGCACCATTACGATGATGTAATCATAAAAACATACCTAAGCAGCTTTAACATTATTGCACTGTGAATGTCAAAACTAAACACGAAACTAACACTCTTAATCCTGTTCCTTATGGAAATGTTTGCTGTTTTTTATTTTTAAAATATAAATTACTCTACTATTCCTTTGATTTATCTCTATTTGTGTTGCTTTTAACACGGTATTTAGGTAGAACTTGTTTACCTACTGATCAGTAAATGTCGTGGGGATGCTGTTGCCTTTGTTCCCTTTATACAAACTTCTTGGTTGTCATTTGGCCTTTGCTCTCAGTCTCTTATATGTTAAAAGGATTATCAATCAGCCTAACTTTCTTTTAGGGGGGGGTTTCGTGGTGATCAGTGAGGTGTCCTCATCCCTAATTAGATGACTGTAACCCTCATATGAGCAGCTACAGGCCTGGTGGTCTGGTAGTGGGACTCTCTGGGCTCAGATTTTCAACTAGGGAGAGCGAGAACAAGCAGAGTGAAAGGCCAAGCAAAGAGAAGGGGGCACTCAAATCCGTTTTAAGCCTTTTGTCATTTATTCAGGGATTTATTTGTCATTAAAGAGTGATAACAGCATCTGTGGAACTTTTAGACTTTTCTCTAGATTGGAAAAAAAATTAAAATCAACTTTTAAGTCAAAGTCAGTTTGATGTCATAATAAATGACTTTGTGGACCTTTTGTGGCAGAGTTGTTTCTGAAGTTTAGAGGTCAGAGTCATTTGCTAAACTTAAGGTTCACTACAGCAGTTTGTGCAGCATCTCCAGATGTGATTCTGCTACAAGAGTTAATATCACGTTGTTGAGTTGAGTGCTGCAACACAACACGGTCTGTGCGAGATCTTAATAATTGGGCTGGTGATATATTGCCTGTACTCAGCAGTGTCTTTTTGAGAGGGGGCCAGACAAAGCCAAGACCCTCGGCCTCCTGCTGTTTTTAATAGTTCTTTAGGTAATGTGGGAGCTTCAGTCTTTTATGGAGGGAAAGAATGTGTCTAAAATATAAAGCAGGTTGATGAATGTGAACTTTAACATGTTCTTTATCACTAATGCATTATTTTAAGAGGAAAAAAAGTTGCATTTTTTTTTTTTTTTTTTTAATTTTTATTTTTTGCTTCAAGCCTTTAAATGCTAATTTTTTTTTATTTATTTATTTTTGTAGTTTTAGCAAAGTAGTGTCCTGCAGAGGTGTCTCTTCTCCTCTCACCTCTGGAGGGTGATAAAGAGCTTCTGGAGGAGGGTGCATCGTATCTCCCTGTTGCTCCCATCGCTTTCTGAAATGGACTTGTTTTATGGGTTGTATGTCTTTTGTTTTCTTGTTCACAACCTCTCTGTGGTCATTCCTCGTGGAAGTTCTTTGAAGGCCTAGAATAGCTTGGAGGAGAAGCCCCCTCCTCCCTTCTCCTCTGCTACCTTTTATTGAATCCTGCCTCTGTATCATTTATCTCTGAACACCCCCACCCCTCACCCCTGTCTGCCCATTTGTGGGGGCTGTTAGGGGGCATCCTCTTTTCTCTCCCAGCTGGGTTTGTTGACACACAGTCAACCTACGCTTCTCTTTCACCTCTGCTCCCCCTCTTTTTAACTCTCACCCCCCACCTCGCAGCTCCTCTCTCTGCTTTGACTGAACAGTAAAGCTGCCACAGCTGTGGGTTGTATTGGCATAGCTGCTGGGGGGGTAAATATATTGCAGTCATTACCTTTTGTTCAAGAGTTGACAGTTTTAAAACATTTCAGCTTCTCGGTGTGTAGAGGAACTGAAGAGAAAAGGATGCCCCGATGATTTGAGTGTAACAGCTTTTTAAATATGGGAGGACAAGGAGGGAAAATCAGAGAATACACATTCATAACTAATTAGCAGAAAAAGTTGTGAATTGAAAGGAAAATGTGCATTGGAAAAAAAACAAGCTTATGAATTGCCTCTTTAAAAAATGTACATTGTGCTATCAGTACACAGACAAATCTTATACAAATAAGACACAGGGAAGAAATTTCAATTACAGCTCATGAACAGTCACTGAAGCTTAATTTGTGTATTGTTTTCGCCAACAGGTGTTGGAATGAACAGGTCCAGGTCCAGCTGGGATAAAAAGACCTCCCAAGCTTCAGTCACCAGGATAACCCGCAGCTCTCAGGCCAGGCACACCAATCACATAGAGCCCCCGGACTCCGGGCCGAGCCTTTATGGAAAACAAAGGAGGAAGCAAACTGATTCGGCATTGGCTCAGAACCTCAGTCAGATGAGTGTGAGTGGACAGGATGCTTTATTTACAGGGTAAGGACATGTAACAGTGATCCTGTATAAAGAAAAGCAGAGGACTGGGAAAAAAAAAAAAAACCCCAAACCAGTTAACATCACACAAAGGTCCAGTACAGCAGTGTATTAATTAATAGGAAAATGTTCAGTGTCTTGGAGAACTTTTGACTCTCTCAAGCCATTTCTCCACAGGAACATCAGGAAATATCAAGACAATGGCCCTCATTCACTAATATATACATAGAAATGTCACTATGCTATGAGCACAAAATAAAAATAATCAGGTTTTAAAAACATAATATGGTCAAGAAATTGGAGTGCAAGTGTTGCAGCAGTGTGGCCTTAATATGCTTTAAAATCATCATTATGTATAGAAGTGTTCATATCAAGTATTTTTGTCTAGCAGTGAAATGGTTGCCTATGAACTAATTATTATTTTTAAAGGTATGCTTCAGCTCACGCCCACCAAAATAACTTGATTCTTGGTTTCTTTACACTCAGTTTAAATCCTTTTGTTTGATTCTGTGGGTTTTACTGTTGGTTAACATTTGGGAAACGAGACAGAGATGAAATTATAAATATTTTGTCATTTAAAGATGTGTTAATATTCTGAGGCATGCTGGCCTTCTCAGACAGCTATAATTGTAATACAATATTGATGGATGCTGGATTTGTGCTGAAGATCACAGATCTGTTTGAGATTCCTTTTGGTTGAGGTGACTGGTCTTTGAGTAGGACAACCATTCACTAGCTGTGAAGTCACTGCATTACTACTACATACTGCTCTATTCTTTGAGCCACCAGGTGAAAGATTTCACAGCCAGTGTTTGCATCACATGCACCACTGTCGGAAAACGCTTACTGAAGTTCAGCGCTGTTTTATGAAACAAACGTGACACACGGACTTCATGAGGAGTTTAGGACTTTCTTTTTACAGTCTCGTGTCACAGTCCATGTGACACGAGACTGTAAAAAGAAATAATAAAAGCTGCAAAGTAAAGCACACACTGTCTTTTTCTCCAGTAAAGGAAAGGTTCCCAAAGCCAGCAGTGATGTTGTGCCGGCACCTCAGCCCTCTGCACCAAGATCTGATCAGGCTGCTCCATCTTCGCCCGCTGTTAAGTCATCATCCCAGGGAGGCCTGGCATCTGTGGCTCGGCTGGTGAAGCTCGGCCGCTGTAAGAACGTAGTGGTGGTGGCTGGAGCAGGAATCAGCACAGCAAGTGGGATCCCAGACTTTAGGTTGGTGTCTAAAACCTCACCAATCTGCAGATTTTCACTGTGAAAATCAGTGTTTCAGAATGTACCAATGTACCAATTTTTCAGGACTCCAGGAACAGGTCTTTACGCAAACTTGGAAAAGTATAACATCCCATACCCAGAAGCCATTTTCAACATCGACTACTTCTCCAATGACCCGCAGCCGTTCTTCTCCTTGGCTAAGGCTCTGTATCCTGGCAGCCATCGTCCAAACTACATACACTACTTCATCCGCATGCTTCATCACAAAGGCCTCCTGCTGCGATTGTACACCCAGAACATCGACGGACTGGAGAAATGTGAGTGAGAAACAGTTGGTCTACAGCATCAGTGTTGTTTTGAAGCTGCCCAGTGGTTTGTGCATTGACTTAAGCTCGAGATGCCTCATTACCATTAATGTAGCTTTTTGAAAAACCCAGCTACAGGATTGGACAATTTAGCTGCCTTTTTTATTGAAGCATCTGCCAGCAGGGATGGGTTTTAAAGGGTTGTTGTTATGACGATTTAAGAATAAGGTGTCTTTGAAGGAGCTCCCTGTCCACTGCTGTTTGGCAGCTTTCATTTTTCAGTGTACTTGGCTATCTGTGAGTTCTTCAGTGCATTAGTCAGAGAAGATGTGTAATTTAATTTACCTTTTGGGGGGGATTTGTCAATATAGCGGCTATCTCGGGTTTTACAAAGTGGCTGCAACTAAAAAAAATAAATTTGAGTTTAGCTAAATCTACTTTTTTAAGGCCAAGGAATCCAGTGCAGGAAAAACAGGTTTCCCCCATACAGCAAATGATGTTATCTGTGCTCTGTGGATGATTTTGTATAAGCGATCGAAGAAACGCCATCAACACTGGCTTTCTCCTTACAAGCAGTGTATCAACATTAAGACAACCCTCAACTGCAATGGCATCTTTTCTGTAGCTGAATGCAGAAGAAGGTGAGAACTCGGTCCGCCACTGCTCTAAAGCAGCACATCTTGAGAGTTCATATTCAAACAAAGGTACTGGTGACAGCTGCTCTGCAGGACCCAAAGCTGGCTGCCTGTTCTCCTGTCTCCTGTGTCATAGTCGGTTCAAGCTAATTTTTGTTGCCATTATTGAATTCCTTGGCCTAAAAGTATATTTAGCAGTTAAAATCAATGTTATAATTTTTGTTTCTTTTTTGTTTTTTTAAAAGTTTAGAAGCAGAAATCAACAGAGACATCTGGGCAAACTGCAACACTGTGCTTAAAAAAACAGCTTTTAGATATCCCCCTAAAAACCCACCAAAAATACAATTAATTAACAATAATTATGAACCCTCACTATGTGGAATATCTTGTTATGTAAAGGATTTCAGTCAGCACGCCTGATGTTAAGATTTGTCTTGAGGAAGCTAGAGTAAGATTTTTATTCCCCCTCATTATTGTCTGACTTTAATAAAAGAAAAGTCAAATAGGACAAACTCAGATTGTTTGCATTAATGTTCCTGTTTCGCTCCTAATGTGATCATATTTGAAAACCTTCAGTGTGTGGCATCCCTGATGAAAAACTCGTAGAAGCTCATGGAAGTTTTGCCACTGCTTCGTGTCACCTGTGCTACACTCCTTACCCCGCTGAGGAGGCCAAGGTTCGTATGCCTCTTTATATGACATATGAATCCCATGCGCTTGATGCCACGTTAATCTTTCCTGCGTGTTTTTTGTCTAACAGCGTGCGATAATGAATGACAACGTCCCCATATGCACATTTTGTGCCGCAACGGTCAAACCGGATGTTGTGTTTTTCGGAGAAGACCTTCCTCAGAAGTATTTCCTGCACACTAAAGATTTCCCAAAAGCTGACCTGCTCATCATTATGGGCACGTCTTTGCAGGTAAACATTAAACTTTAATATGATATCATAGTAAAAACAGGTTGTTTGTGTAAAGGAAAATTACATTAAATGTTAAATAAAATGTTTCAGATTGAGCCATTCGCCAGCTTGGTGAACACGGTGCGCTCCACTGTGCCACGTCTCCTCCTGAACCGACATGCTGTGGGTCCCTTTGAGAAGGTCCCGCTCCGGCGAGGGGACCACATGGAGCTAGGAAACCTGGAGGATACTGTGCGGAAGTTTGCCGAAATGCTCGGCTGGAACAATGAGATCGAAGAGCTGATGAGGAACCAGGAAACACTGGTGGGTTGTAAAAGCTCTCACAGGTCATACATGTCTCAGTTAAAAAGGAAAAAAAAAAAGTGCAGAATGATTGTTACACCGTCCTGTGGCACTCAGTGGTTTTCATTTCTTTCTGCAGACCATCCCAGCGTTGGTAAGCAGTCTGCCATCACAGACATGTCCGATCAGAGCAACAGCAGAGCCTCAAGGCAGGACGGAGACATCCAGGTCCATACCAGGAGCTCAGAGAGCAGCAGGCAGCGGCGGCGAGGAGACAGATTCCGAGACGGACAGCAAGAGCTCTGCATCGTCCACCCTAAGCAACTAAATATTACGACACTTGAAGGATTTTGAAGTTTCCACTATCCATAGTTCACATGGCAGACTGTTCCGTTAACTGTAACCTCTAATCAGATTATTTTGAGTCTTACCTCTTCATCTAAGAGCCAGTATGTGATGTCTGTATCATGGTTATATGAACACGTCAAAAGGTTAATCAAGTTCAAACAGCATCCATCAAGAACACTAGACATTTGAGCCTTGTATCAAAAATATTAATTTTAAGGTGTTTTAAGTCAGTGTAATGTGTTAATGTTTTATAATCAGTATAACACTGTCTTTGAGAGCGTATTTAATAAAAGTATTGTGTAATTTGCACTTTGTGTCCAAAAAAGACACAGTCTTCAGTTTAACTTGTGGTAATGATATGATGCTATTTCATAAATGCTTTCCACTTGGGAAAATTTGAACAGGAAACTTGAATGTGGTGGAATAATTGTGTTTACAGCTGAGCACAAAACAAATCTACAGCAATAGGGGGGAAAAATACAGACATGAGGAGAAACCCAACAAATGATAACCAACTTTGGCAAATCGAAAAGAGTAAAGTCAACTTGCACAAATTTGATTAACAAAAACAAACGCTCACATAAGTAATGTAACAAGCAGTTAAATTATGTATATAACCGACCAAGTATGTGAGATCTGCATAGAATTAAATTATACCAAGACACAGAAAATATATTACTTTGTTTATATAAAGTCACACATTTAGTGTCAAATAAACAACATTTTCATAGGTTTCTTCCTTCTTTTTTTTTTGATTCAACATCATGCAGATGACAAAAGGAACAGAGATTAGAAAACAATCATCGTAGTTCACACATTTCATTGTCAAGAGCCCGAACAGGCAAAAACCACCATCGACCTGTGGAGAATGCTGCATTGCCTCAAGTCTTAAATTTAATGAAACTTGTTTTCTTTTCTCCATAACGTCATCAATTGAGTACCAGAGAGAAAAAAAGTGAACTACCACTAACATTTGTTTTTTGTCCATGGTAAAAACTGATTACACAAACAAAGTGAGCTGCAGGTTTAAACCGTCCACAAACACATCAGTCCTGTGCTCCAGCAGTACCAGCAGCTTTACCGCTAACAGTGTTTACTATGATTCGTGTTAAAATTGTGCACCTTCTAGTCATACATTTTTTTATATGTATATATTTTTAAAAAAGAGAAGTGAAGGAATGTTTATTCACACCCAAAACTACACTTTAAACAAAACAGTGTTTCCAGCAAGAAGCAAAACTCAGCAGAAAGTATATTCTTTCCCCACAGGGAGCACTAAAGCAAAAGATGCAGCAGTAACTGTGAACTCCTCCTCGGCAGTCTTCCTGCCACGCACGACTCCGCTTCAGCTCGAGACAGCCTCTGGAGCCTGCTGTGAAATGTTTAGCTGCGTTCTACTTCAGGACTGGTTTGATTTCATTTAGTACAGCAAGTGCCTGTCCTATTTGG